CAGGGGAGGTACCCACCGTCTCCTCGCAGGGGATGCAGGACGGGTCTCGCACGGACTCCACGCGACGGAGGAACTGCAGAGAGGAGAGGGAGACATCAGCTGCCCCCATCCATTCCCCGGGCCAGGCCACGGCGCGGGCAGCCGCGCGCCCCGCTGCCCTGCGCTCTGCTCTGCCACAAGCGCCCAGGGGCAGCTGCGAAAGGCCACGCTGGCATAAAGTGRCCTCAGGGCATCGCGGCCCACTCGTCCCTTCAGCTCCTCAGGCCTCCCCCGAGGAGGGTTTCATGACCTGCAGCAGTCAGATTTTGCTGCTGCCCTCTTTGTGTCACYGTGCACCTGCCTGCTGACTTCTGAAGGGCCACGCCTGCCAGGGCACTAAGCACAGCTGGTGAAGAACTGAGGATTTCCTGGGAGGAAGAGCAATATCGTTTCACTGCCGAGCATCAGGCTGCAGCAATGACTCTGCACAGCACATCAGAAATCAAACCAGGCATCTTTCTGCCAAGAGCACTGACAAGCAACAAAGATACCAGCAGCAAGAGTAATTTATTTTGAGTTTTGATTCATTTCAACCAGCATCTTCCTAGTAAAGCAGTTTATTTTAAGCAAGCCCAGAGGAGCAAAGATGCCTCCTTCTCCCTACTCTTAACCTACCCTCTGGCCAGCTCTGCCTCCTTTCGAAAGCTATTCTTTTTAGCTAACAGGGAATGAGTTTCTGTGTTTATGCAGATATTGTTGTTCACAGTAACAACAACTTTGGAGCAAAGATCCAGGTCAGAGCTGCAAATRAGCCAAGGCATTTAATAGTAAACCGAGAGAACTGGAAGGAACTGGGGCTTGGGCCTTCCCATGAAGAGCAAGGCGGCAGCAGCAGCAGACCYGGAGCCTCTTGCAGGCCTCAGAGGAGCACAATTTACTCGTCTCTTACCTCTGGAGTGGCTTCATTAAAGTTGCAGACTGTTTCCATTCCTCCCAGTTTCCAGTGTCCATCCTCACTTACAAACACAGATGATAAACACACATTGTTATGTGTTAAGTTTCCCTAAAATAAAGAAAAAAAAAAAAAAAGACTTATCTCTAAGTGAAGATATCTTCAGGACTGCTAACCAGGTGTTGTGAGGAAATAAGGAAAAACTGTCCCCAAACAACACATTTCTACAGGTTCAGAAAGTATTTAAGGTGACCAGCAGGTATTGCACAGGAGGGCTGCAAAGTTTCATGGCAAGAGCCCTATAGGGGCAGAGGAGGCCTCCAACTACAAACACAAAGCCTGGAAACTACAGTCGGAGCTGGGATTTACCTGCAGCCCCAGACAAGCACATAGCGCCAAACAGGGGAGCGCTGACACTGGTATCTGACAGCAACAGCTATAAGAACACCGAGACTGAGCAAAACTGGCATGAAGCAMTGCAACAGGTGCTCCTAAAAATCACCATATTTTCATTTACTCTTCCTTCCAAGAGGCAGCAAATGGTTTTAGTGGTTCAACATACAAGCACTGTGGGCTTTGGGTCTGTCTTTGTGTGTCACGACGCCCTCGCGCCGTGTTTCGCCTGTCCCCCGGGGCAGCCCCGGGGCTCCTCCTGCCAGCACCTACCCTGTCATGGAGGAAGATGAGAGCCAGCAGGACGTCGTAGATCCCTGCGCAGATTTCGGCAGGAGACAGAGTCTCCAGGACCATCTCCAGGGGTTTCACACGTTCTGTGACCAGGTGGATCCCATTGGCTTCCACCGTGCAGGAGAGGAAGCGGAGAAGGCAAGGGTGGCGCAAGGTCTTCAGGTGCTTCCAAAGAAGAACAAAACCAAAAGCTGCTGTGGTGACTTGCGAGGGTCCCCGCACACCTCCAGCCGCACTGTCTGCTCCAATTCAGGCAGCCCAGCCCTGCTCCTCAGCAAGCACTTGCTCCTTCRCTCGCTGCAAAAAGCTCTCCTAATGCACCTACATCCTCAGCAAGTCTTACATAAAAGAACATGCACAGTGTTTGGGCACAGCCCACCTAACAAATTCCCTATCTTAGGGGATCCACCAGCGGACTCCACATTCCACCAGCGGATGCAAGTGGTGTTATCCACCCCCTTCCCATCACTGTGGGGGGAAGCGGCGCACTCGGAGCTCGGCCGCCGTCCCCCTTCCTCCCCGCTGTTAGCGGCCACGTTCATCCATGGCCAAATTCAGCAGCTCCTTCCTTCCCCTCGAGGCTCCGAACGACAGACCCTCCTCCTCGCACGAGGAGCCGAAGCTCCGGGGGTCCTTCCCGCCGCGCGCTCTCTGCGGTACCTTGGCAGCTTTATTAACTGTATCCTCGTTCTCCCTCTGGTAGACGAAGACGGAGGCGAGCCTGCCATCCCGCAGCGCGGCCGGGTAGAGCGCGTGTCCGCTGGGCAGCGTGAGCGGCGGCTGCTGCAGCGCGTAGCCCTTCAGCGCGCTGCTCTCGGCGCCCATCCCCGGCGGCGCGAGCCCGAGCGCGCGGTGCCAACCCGGCCCTGGCGCGGAGGCGCGAACGCGGTCAGCTCCAGCGGCCACGGCCCGGCCGGCTGCAAGGGCCCGGGCGCCCTCCAGCCGGGCCCGCCCCCGCCCCGGGACAGCCGCCCCGGGCTGCTGGGGCCTAACGGCGCCCGAGCGCCCGT